GCAGTTCTTCTTCAGGACTTCTTCGTCCTTCTTGATGGCCAGGCCGCCAAAAAACACTGACACCTTGACAGTCGGCATGTACTTGGAGAAGCGCTCGTACTCTTTGCTGATCTGAAAGGCCAACTCTCTCGTGTGGCACATCACAAGGACAGACACCTGGTGTACAGGCAAAAAGGACAATACTCTTATGAACTGCTGAATCCTTATGTAGTGTGTCTTGTGTGCTTTTGTAATGTCAGCTAACATGTTTTCTAATCCATAATTTCACTGATTTCCTGCAGGCTTTATAAACTTTGACTAATATTTCAGAAATATTTCAGTGCTATTTAAAAAAGTTGTTTTAAAAATTCATAATTCCTTCATAAAACCAAATTACAATGAATCATTCAAAACCAACAGGAACAAAATTAATCACAAGGCCTAGGGGTTAGGGAGTCAACCAGAAACTAGGGGTGGCCATTTCAAGCTAAAATGCTATTCAATGTTCGCTGAGAGTCCCAGTCCAGCTGGTCCGTTTCGGCTAGCACCATATCGCTAGCATTGTCATGTGCACATTCTGTGATTTTACCTGTATGTCCCCAGTATTCCATGGCGTTGGAAAGCACATTTGCCAGGTTTTCAGCAGTATGCCACTCCGGCATTGCTTTAGTCTGAAGATCAGCACTCTGTATTTTCCAGTTAATTATATAATGGCAGCTGATTGTCGCATTCCATACAAATCAGTTGCAAGAGCTGTCCACACACCAATGGTCTGAAACCCTTTCAACACCTGCCAGCCGACTACTCAGCTCACATGCTTTATCATACAGTTTATCTAGTCATGCTGTGACTGCTTTTCTTGATAGCTGTAGTCTCTGCATGTTTCTGCTGTTTGTATTTGGTGCCATATATAGCTCATGCAAATTACAGCAAATAGTGATAAACCAAATTCCACACCAAGTGCCTATACACACTTGACATCTATAATAGTAGAAAGATATGTTAGTGGTGCTTTCCCACACAACAAATTAATCTGCTGCTGTCAAAATAGAGGCCATTCTTTTCTTTTGCACAAAAAGATGTGTCTTCTGAACAACCTCAGAAAAAGGAATTATGAAACCTGTAAGCTATTTTGACAAGATACAAGGAGTTTTATGGAGTCAACTGTAAGAGAAGCTTTGCCAACATCTGAAGGCTGCAAATAAAAAAAATCCAAAGGAACGTACATTTAATTAACATAGCATATCGTAAGCATCACTTAATCAGTACAGAAACAAAGAAGAGGAAGAATAATTCATAGTGACCCAGCATTAAATAACAACCAACTCACCTGACCATCAACAGGTTCTATCTGCTGCAGGGTGGCCAGTACAAATACTGCTGTCTTTCCCATACCAGACTTGGCCTGACACAGAATGTCCATGCCCAGAATAGCTTGGGGAATACACTCATGTTGAACTGAAAATAAAACAAATGGCAATTACAGGTGACTGAAAATAACAAAAGCACTTGGCAATTGATTAAGATATGACAACACTAACAGGAGAAAAAGTTAAAGTTTGTGTGGAGGTGTAGGTCTTAATTGGTGGTGTGTGGTTATAGTTTTTGAACTTTTAACAACACAAGACTGCCATTCACCTTCTGAAGGGTGCTCAAAACCACAGTCAACAATGGCACGGAGCAGCTCTGGCTTGAGGAGAAAGTCTCTGAAGCCCGAGCTGTGAATGGATACGTAGGACCCCTTCACTTCCTTCTTGTTTGTTGGGATCCCACTCTCAGGGGCTCCCTGGGGCTCCTCATCCTCTTCATAGTCCAGAAGTTCGTTATCAACGTCGTTCTCAGCCATCTATAAAGGACGACATATAAATCAGTGTCTGTTTCTCAAAGCTAGTCTTAAACAAAGTCCTTTTAATGTACAAGCACATATTTGAGATGAAGGCAAGTATTTATTGTTAAATGCTATAAATAAATGCTAGAAATTATTCAGCTTTTATCTGTTAATACCCTGGTATTGTTTTAATATATGTTCTTGTATAACGTTAGCTAATACTATAAAACACTTTGTCGTACAAATTGGCTGTTATAAATATGCCGTCTACAAATCGGAATTAATAGAAAAATGCTGATAATGCCTTGAAGCCACATTAATCAGAAACCTAATCAGCTGTTTCCAATATCAGACACATTAGCAGAAAGGTGTATGAATAACTCCGTTAACAGCAGGCCACAGCCGCGGTTCAAAATGGATGAATTATTGAAACGAGAGCTAACTTCCCAATGTGCAGATTTTAACGACCAATATTATAAAAGCGGCCCGTTTAGCTATAACAATTACACTGACTCAAAATGACAGCCGAACGATGTGAACCGGTAGACACAGCTCTATCATCAACAATGGACATCTTTTCTTTCTCCTTCATTCAAACTAGTTAGCACGCTAGTCGCTAGCAGTTGAACGGAACTCGATTTGCACTATTTGCAACATTTAGGTTAACAAACATTGTAGCTAGCCAACTATCGTTATATTTCAAATTTCTTTAGTATCACCAGCATCGAGTATGTGGTGTTTCATGTGGACGAATGGCCAGAAAACAAAAACAGTTACTCAACACAACTAGATGACTAAAGCTAATTGGCTAACTTTAAATCAAAATGGAGCTAATGTTAGTGCTGCTAGCACGTTAGCCAGCTATCGAAGCAACCCTCAAAACCTCGGTTTTAGAACCTTCAACAAACCATTCAAAATAGTTATCCGTTCCTAACAGCTAAACATACTGGCGAGTTTGATGTGGAAAGCACTGAAGCAATGCAATGTTACCTTACTGTGATGTTTTATGTCCCAACGATGCCAATGTGCGTGATACTAGCAAGACTGCAAGTAGTACAGGACAGTGAGTGTGCACGTATGATGTATTCAGGTCCACCTACAAAAAAATACTCTTCGCTTACGATAAGCTGGGATGTATTTGCTCACTTTTTGCTCAACTACGTTTTCAGATTCTCCGCCATATAACATGAATTATGAACAACGTTAGGGTAGAAAAAATCCCCGTGCTCTCAAATACACAAAGCTGTCTAAATAGTCTGGTCCGAATTTTGTTTGTGATAATTACGGTATTCTTGACAATACATGAAGGCATCAGACGCTCCATAGCAGCGCCTGATCAGAAGTCGAGTTTTCTCTCTATGATAAAATGTATTACTGAATACAGTAATACATGTAGTCACAAATTATTGTACAAGCCCTGCATTTAAAAGCATGCACGTGCTTGCTATACAGAGCCTCAGTACGAAGGCACCTAATGTTCCTCAAAGATTTAGTAAAAAGCTTCAGCTATTGGCTATCTAAATTACTTTAGAGGGATCACAGGGTCAATCTCAATTTAAATGCAAATTCATTTTAGAATTTTGTCTAATAAAGTTTTTGTTATAAGCTATAAGGAGTTTTAGGCTTTCAATTGGCGCTATGTAGAGCTAATTGCGTGTGTGTAAACCGTTTATCACAGTAGATGGGTCACATAACCTATTTGGAACCAAGCTGAAAAAAAAATCAAAATAATTTTTCTTTGCTTCACAAACAATATAAAATATTGCAGTTTAACTGCTAACAACCACATAGTTTCTCTACACATAAACACTAATGTACAAGTTTACAAAACTAAGTTTACAGATACAAATCTACAAATATATACAAAACACTGTTTGCAAGCACACCCTTTTTTATATACTATGGAATACTATTTCATAATATTCCATATTATTTCATAATATTCCATAGGGCACGCACCACAGCCTGCATTGCAATCAGAAAAAAAACTCAAGTCACATACTTTACTTGTGTAGCCTGTTTGAGATCCATGGAGTGATTCTACTTCACCACACTACCTCACCACCGCAAAACATTTTCCTTTTTATTTGTCAGCTAGTTACTTCTTTACCATAATAAATAAATATTGGCCTATATAAAATAGGCTAGTTAAAACAGTACTTTTACATTAATGCCCCTAATAATAATCTAATCCGTACATTTTTCAACGTGGCTATTTTTTTAGAGTGGTATAGGCCTACATTTTCTTAAGGGTTAGCGCATCCCTTCATTTTCCACTGTGTAGTGATAGGCAAGACAAACTGAGTAAAGTGGGCAATAGCCTGGGTCCCCAGGGCACCCAAAAATCTCAGGTCTACATCCAATTTCTAAACCGCTTAGTCCCAAACGGGGTCACGGAGCCAATCCCAGCCAGCTGCGGGCGAAAGGCGGGGTACACCGTGGACAGGTCGCCAGCCTATCGCAGGGCTAACACACAGACGAACAACCATTCACACACACTCCTACGGGCAATTTAGAGAACCTGCTCCGCGCTGCCTCAGGTCTACATAGTTTGATTAATGGCAAATTTGTTGGGGGTAAAAATCAGTGCATTTCAGCATTGACAAGTCCTTCATCCTCCATCTTGTAACCTTGTCATGTCTCAAAATCTAATTTAAAGACAGTCATTGTTTTAGTTTATATGGTGATCATTTATTAGTAATATTCCATCACAGAAAAAAATGTAATGCTGCAACCAACAGTTATGTTCATTACACACCCGACATGTAAATTCTTTAATAATCAATTGATTGTTAAGTATTTAAAATGTCAGAAAATAGTGAAAAAAAACCCAAAGATGTCAAATTTAGTATCACAGAAGACTGAGATAACTAGCAAATATTCACACGTGAGAACCACCTGATTCAAGTAAATCTTGGGAGGGTTGCTCAAAAATTAGGTGGCTATGGTATAATCAATTACAAAAAAGAATGACTGAAACAATTACATATAACATTTTAATCAGATGATTAATAATTTAGTTGACAGTCTGGTTAAACTGACACCGCTCGTTCCGCCTTCCCGCAGAATTAAAGCTCTACAGTGATTGGCTGTCTTTGTTGTTTTACCAACGAGAACCCTCAGTTTTTATTTGCCATTGGTTCATGACATGCCACTCACATCTCATTCTGTAATTTGATTGGTTCGCCCCACCTCGTGCTCAATAGAAGGATGGACCGCCAGCCATTCTGATTAGTCGTAATGATTGATGCTGTCTTTAATGCCAAACCTCAGTTGAATTGTAGGCTTCACCGTACGGCTGTCATGGTTATTTCAGTGGATGTGTATAGAAGGATTTTTCTCTACTAATTCGGTTAACACACACACAAATATCCTCGCGTGCAGAACGGCTGTGCGACGTGGTGCTGCCTCCGGTTGAACGGCGGTAGGAGGATGGCACTGCGTTGGACGGTCTCTGTATCTATCCTCGATGGTATATTAAGATTGTAATCAGCTGATAACATAGGGTGTACATTTACGGCGGACTGGTGTGGGGGTGACAATAAACCACCGATCCGATTATGGAAAAGGAGTCCAGGTAAGCATTTAGGATTGTATTCGTTTGTTTGTGGTGTTTATTTTTTTTTAAAAGCAACATCAGTGTTACCGCGTGGAGCCTATATTGACGGGCCTACATAAAACTAAACAGGCACATAGCATATCTCTCCTGGCCCTGGTTGTTGAAGCCCCACCAACAACAGCTTAATTTGTGCTCCATTTATTGCCGTGTACTCCACTGTACAGCATGCCAGTGGAGACACGGCCCATTCATTAACCTATAAACCATATTTATTGCTAAGGCATAGCGTGATGCTGCGTGCCATGTCCATATCGCCCCGTCCTCATTTGTAATGCCGTTACACAGTCGTGTTTTTGTAGGAAGCCGGAGTATTTGGTGTCGCAAAGAGGGGATGATGTGTCATTTTAACCACAGATGTTGATCCACCCGAGCCATGAGTCGACTGCAGAGCATGTAGGCCTGTTTTCCAGGTCCAGACATCCTCCAGCGGCAGGAGCATTAGGCCGGGTTTGACCGGGATAATGAGCTGTCATATCCAAACAATGCAATCAATAGGATTACCGGTTCTTCAAGTATGAAACTGCGGTACAAAGGATTATAGGTGTCACTCCCATCTTTCATAAATGGCTGTATTTTTTTTCTGGGATAACAGTGCATGGGTGGCAGAGGGTCTGCTATGTTTTCCCAGCTGTCCTTGTTAAAGACTATAGACTCTGGACCTATTCCCACCCATTCACTTGTTTCCTTGGTTAAAAATGGTCATTTACATAAATGGTTTTAGTTGATTTTTTTGTTGTTTTGTTTTGTTGTTGTTGTTTTGCCGCTGTATCCCTCTAATTAGAGAGCATTTTCCAGGTAAATATCTTTAAATGCTACTACTCTCAACCCTGGGGACTACCACTAAGCTATGACTCTGTGCTTTAATAAGCCTGGCATATGTTGTTTTTATCTCCCAAGTGGAATAAAAGGTAGTTAACTCAGTTTTTTGAGCTATGATGCTCAAGGATTAAGGATGCCTCTGACTGGTCACCAATCAAAAGTGCTCCTTCAGACACTCTGTTGATTGTAAATGCATCTTAAAGTCCCCATGACTAAGGGCATGCACCACTGAGTAATGGGTTCATTGTATCTTTAAGACTGTATGAGATTACTTTAAGGCTTATCTATGAAATCCACTCACCATGCAGCTCATACATTTTACCATCAAGGAAACATCTGATTCTCACATCCTGGTGACCTTGTTTTGAGTGCATCTGTCTCGAAACCTCTATCTGATTTGCGTGAACAGTAGCGTGTACTATATCTGTGACACATGAGCACACTGTAGTTTGCCCCAGCTAACCTTTTCCTGTGCGCTAACTGCTGCTGCCACATTATTCACCTGTTTGAGAGCCACACTAAGTGGCTCTGGCCAGTGTCATCACGATCTGCTTTCTCAGGTTATTTTCTTTATTTGGAGAGGAGTGTTTGCATGCAATGAATGTGAGGTGTGTGTGTGTGTGTGTACGTACGTACGTGTGGCCTCTATCAAGAACAAGAGCAGGGAGCTAGTCTCACAGCCTTGTCTGCCTGCTGCTGTCTAGGTTTATTATTGTCTGCTCCTGTGTTTGGTCGTAGAACAGGGATGCCAACAACAAACAGAGGCCACATGTCCAGGTTGTAAAAAGAACAGATAGATTTCCCTTGTGCCAAATACAAGGTTTCCCTTTGATCAGTTATGTAAATATGCTGTTTCTTTTTCCTAGAAAAAGTCTAATGTCTCCACTCTACTAGTGACGTAACCCAGCAAGAAAGCCTGAGAAGAAAAGTCAAACAGGAGCATTATGATTTTTTTTTTGTCCCAGCTCATGCTTGTCTTCCTGGCTGACTTGCTGGTGGACTGTAATGGTGCTGGCCTGGCCTGGCCTTGGTGACACATGGAAACAGGGAGCAGTTTGATGATCTGGCTGCTGATGTTCAGGCTCACTGCCGTCGCAGATCCTTCACAGCCCTCCTCTCTCCACTTTGTCGAATGCTAAATTGTGCGTCCTTCCATCCATCTATCACACAGCAGGACTACTAAACAGCTCGCACCCTGCGTGTACTCATACATGGCAAGGCACAGGAATCCTGAGGTGGCACCGTAAACTGTATATAAAGATGAGTGACTTGACGGTCTCAAGTTCTTAACCATGTTAAATGTTTGTTTAGCCAAATTCCACTTTTAATGCATAACTATGCAAACACATGCTATCACGGTTTTGTTTGTGTTACGTCAAAGTAAAACACATACCAGTATTGTTTAACTGGCGTTTATTGATTTGGTAAAGAGTGTTAAAACAATTTTTTTTTTTTTGATGTTTTGGTTATACTCAACATACACGTAGAAGACAAAAAGGAGGAGGCACCTAACAACCTCCTCATTTTATATACACTATGATTTCATCGGTGATGTCATGGGGGTGAACCAAGTCGGGAGATAGACATTATTAGTGTTAAGTTAGTTTCATGTGTTGATTGATAATTTGTAAATTGTACGTTTTGAGAACTGAATGTATGCCTTTAAAAGTCTGTGACTGGAGTTATTTTTATCAATAAACATTTAACAGAGAGATGACTTGTGCTGATTTGTGTAGGGGTTGTTTTCCTGATGAGTTGTATTTTTAACAAGTTGTTTTGATATATATATTTTTTTTTTTTTTAAAGGTGCATTTCCGATGATTTGACACTTTTTTTTGGTGGCCTGACACCGGGCTTCAGCTGAGGTCACTAGTGCACAGAATCTGGTTGTAAATTGCATCAAAAAAGAAATATGGCTGCCTCTGTATTTGCAGTATTGTGGCTTCAGTTTTGCATAGTAGCAGGAAATGGTGATGTGTAGGCCATCTTTATATACAGTCTGGGTGGAACTTAAAGAATATATAAAAAAGCATGACATGCACATGGTAAATAGTAACCTTTTATGTAGCATGCACATTAATCGAGCTCAGAAATGCAAATCTAGGTGGATTAGTATGAACCAACTCCCCCCTTACTCTTTGGTTCTCAGCAGTTTCTCCCAAGTGTCCACTGACATTAAAGCAAACATACTGTCATATATAGAGCACCAGCCAAGTTCAGAAAATCCGGCTTGTTTTGCTTTTTCAGTCACGCCCTCTTATTACTGTGTGTGGGGGTGGGGGTGCGTGTGTGTGAGAGGCAGAGAGAAGAAAAAAAAATCCCAATGTAGTACCACTCTGCTGTTGCCTTGCGTGACTCACACCTTCTATAGTGTGGTCTGACTACAGTGAGACAGCTGAATAGCCCTCTGTGTGGTGAAAGCCCTCTGAAGAATCTCCTTTTGTGCCGGCATCCCTGATGATGCTTAACAAGCTTTTTCTTTATAGCACTTGTATTTTTTTTTTAAGTGCAATTCTTTAATCAGCAGTAGTACTCTGTAGTATATCACAGTGTAAAAGAACCCGAGTGTGGCAGCTGAGTAAAGAATTTACTCTGTCAGTGTAAATTTCAGTGTGGCACTACAGTAGGGAATTCCCTCAACAGATTAAACCAAGTGTGGCCAAATATAAATGAAATTTGCTAGATACAGGTTTGTTTGTTTGTTTTATGTGTTTTTGTTGTATTTTTTTCTAGAATCTCAAAAGCGCCAGTGAGAGAGCACACCATGCAGAGAGAGCTGGTCTCCTCAGCAGTGTTTCTTTTTCATGTGCTTTAATGTAAAGCAGCTTGGCCAGTGTGGTGAAAATGCACCTGGTGTATTCAGAGTAAAGTACATATGTACTGTAATACAGTGCGTATGTAACATCTGTCCAGATCAACACAACCCATCTCATTTGTCTCTGTACAATGTGTGAACACCTCATAATAAGTGTAGCAGGAGGCACATTGGAAAATGGACTCTGTGCTCTTACATGTAGCCAGATGGTGTGTACATAGGACAGACTATAAGTACTCATTGTTATGTCGGTGTGCATGTGAGATTTATTTATCCATTTGTAGCATTTAGTAATCATTCATTTATTGTTTTTCTTGAATAGCTTTCAGATTAATAGTGATATCGGCTTTATTACAGATGCCACAGGTAGTAGGTTTTTATGGTTAAGCAATTATATTATGAAGGTCAAACTATTATGGGAATGTTTGATTTAGGTGTAATGGCATTGTAGCAAAAAAGAGTTGTCCTTGGTGGAGATTTGCAAATGTGGTCAATAATACTGCAGCGCTCAGCTCAGACTTACTGCTGTTATGTTGAGTAATGTGAATATGTGTTTGACTAATTGTATCACTGCCTGAGGCTCGCCCATCTGACTGTGAAAGATAAGGCAGACTGACATTGTTGCAGTCACCAAAACTCAGCTACAGAGGTAGTAGCTTTATCAGACTAGCTTTAGTACTGTAGTCTTTATGATTATCATTAGTTTATATTAGTGGAATTGCATGTGATATCAGAATGATGCTATTTCAAGCCTGTCTTCTGACTGAGCCCTTTTAAGATAGGATTGGTCTTACTGGCTTGTTAATGCCTCCTTTGATCGGGCTGGTTTCTGTGCATGAGTGTGCTGCTTGTCTCTTCCCCTTGCAGTGTTTCCCTGCTCAGACAGTTGTTATTCTCCTCTCCTCTGCTCTAGCCTATGTTTCTGCTCTCCTCATTTTGTTGTGTGTATTTGGCATCATATGCTTCATATTATACAAACTGCTTTATTGTTTCTTTCACTCTGATGCTTGATTGCCAGGCTGAAATAAATTGTTTATTGCATTGTTTTGAAGTTTTCAAATATAAGGGCAGTGTGATATGGTATATGTCGATCAGTTGTTTCAGTTTTCCCATCCCTACAACATACAAGTAAGGAGTATATTTGTAGATCATAATTGTTTGTTTACATGGCACATCAGCAGCACATCTTAAAAAAAAACAACTCTGATAGCCGAGTCTGTCTACAGTGACGGACCATGGTGTTCTGAGTCACAGTGATGTCACTGACCATGACACCTCAATAAAAGCATTTAAAAAATGATGTTGGGCTGTACACAGTAGTCGCCAGTTTTAGGGGACCTTTTTTTTAAAGACAAGTTAACAAGGGTGCCTCTATCATGTTGTGTAGCCACAGGTTCTGTCCGATTCAAGGTTGTACTTGTCACGTCAGTTGTGATTACATGTAAACCACCACTTTGGTTCATTTCCTTCAACTTTCTGTGTTCAGTCATTTTCATTCAGGCTTGTCTCCATCCATGACAGGTTGGAAGACCTCTGATCATATAGGCTCCACAGCCAGCCAGGTGGCCAGTCAGGCGACAACCAGGCTCACTGTGGAAGGAGACCAACATCGAGACTGGGAGACCCTCTCACTACACCCACACTGCTTCACCCATCCCACTCCACCATCACCGCCATGTCTATACCCAGTGGCAGCCCAGAAAGAGAGAACTCTGGTGGGGGTGTCCCTCAGCTAGAGTGCCCTTCTTCACCTCCCAGCTTCGGCTTGGACCCAGACCCACTGTCAACAGGCAGCCCAGTGATCAGCCCAGACTCATCTTCCCATGATGCAGTACTGTCAGCACCAGCAGCCTCTCCAGCAGACTCTGAGAACCTGAGTCCTGATGAACTGGAGCTGCTGGCCAAACTGGAGGAACAGAACAGGTGAGAACCGTTACTTTTGTTACTGTTTAACTGTTGAACATTTATTACAGTTTCACTGTTACTGACTGGGGCCCAGAGTTTTGTTGTACAGTACCGGGTTCAATCGCTTCACTGTTTATTTAGCCCCACCCTGTTAGCTATTGATACTACACTTGTGAAGATTTTTGTTCTAGCACAACACAAATATAATATAGTGGCCGGTGAGTGTATATACTGTATGTATACTGTTCATGTTTATGCTCAAAACTCCAAAAATGTCAGATCAAATATCTAAATTAGCGTTACATGGATAGACTGACCACATATTCTCAATTTAAGTGGTTAATTTGTCACCAGAGAAAATGTCAAAACTATCACTTGTGAATGTGTGAATAGTTTTAAGAATTTCTGTATCCAAATTATGAAATGGATCAGCACCGAAATCTAATTACCTGTTCCATGGCCCATACCCTACCTCTCCAAGAAAATTCATCCAAATCCATTCATTACTTGTGGAGCACACAAACAAACCAACAAATGCTGACAAAAACACAAACACAGCCTTTGGTGGAGGTAATAAAAAAAGCCAGAGCCTAAAATAAGAGAATCATTTGGAGACTAAAGAATAGTGAACAAAAAAAATCAATAAATTCTAGATACTTCATGTTTGATGTAATGTCTCTTATGATCAAACAAGGACACAAACTCAAGAATATTGATGACACACTGGACACATACTTTTGGTCAAATTAACTTGGAGCTTAAAAGTCAGAATGCTGAGAATTCATAATAGGTTATTTGTTTACTCAGCATCTAGTTCTGTGATCTCTGTTCCCATTAAGGAACATATGCATATTCATTTAATACATTGAGATGGGTTGATTTGAAATTTGTAAAAGAAAGATGAAGAAGGATGTTTATTCTTATTGCTTCCTGTCTGTTCATTTTACTGATAGCTGGGTTAAAGCACAACTATACTCTCCACCTGACACACAAAAATCCCAATACTCTGACCCTGTATACAAAGGCACATTGTTGCTTTTGTTTGTTTGGGGTAAATGTAATTAATTACTTTGTATGGTCACATAAGAATCCATCCAGCAGTGTGTGTAATACCCTCATGGGCTGTCCATTGATTCTGTAGTTTACGGTAACAAAGACATATAACACCCGGGCAAGGTTGTACTCAGACTGCATTGATCCCCACAGTGTCACATCTGCCTGTCATGACTCTTAATGCTCATCTTAGCTTCCCTGTCTCTTCAGTGTTTATCATCTTGTGTAACACAAAATCTGTGCCACGAGGTCGTGTGCATTTTCAATTGTTATTTGAGCTCCGGTTCCTCATGCACCGTCTCTTCCTGAAGGTTGTTGGAAGCCGATTCCAAGTCCATGCGATCAATGAGTGGTTCACGGCGAAACAGCGGTTCCTCGCTGGTGTCCAGCTCTTCAGCCTCATCAAACCTGTCACACCTCGAGGAGGACACCTGGATCCTGTGGGGCCGCATCGTCAATGAGTGGGAAGAGTGGAGACGCAAGAAGGACAAACTCCTGAAGGTGGGAATCAGGAACTGGAGATGGAAAATAAAGATTATAGCCATAACTTGTAGCATTTCACCAAGAATGAGTCACTGAATATAATTAAGGGTAGGGTTGGCGATTCTGGAAAAGGCAGCAAGAGGAAGCTTGATTTTGAAAGTAGCCAAATGAAGAAATCCCACCCTTCCGTTCTGAATTCTCTCCAAAGCCATTCCTCCAAAACATAACGCACACTGCTGCATGCACTGCCTGACTACTACTACTGATAGATTCTTAATAACATCTTATGCCAACTAAATACTGTGCAAAGCAAATATGGTCCTAAGTGGCCAGTGTCACAGCTTTTATTGGTTATTTCATACAAAATGTAACGCTTCCTCAAAGAGCCAGAGTATACTGGTTTCTAAAAAAATTCTCAGTACAGTAACATCTGAGGGTTTAAGGAGGTAGCTGCCTAGAACTGCAGGTTGTTATTATTTGGGAGGTTTTGGGGTCTTATCCTGAATTAATGGCATGCAAGAGGAAGGTCTGCAGGGGACTCTGTTCGCAGGTTCATGGTAGTTAATTATTGAGTGAATATCTCTGCCGTAAAACCTCAAGCAGTGTTTGGAGCTTTAATGTGTTTCAAATATGCTAGCTTAGTGTGAGAGGTTAAGCGTTATTCCTATGTCCAGGGGTTAGCATATCGTGGCCTTCATACACAGGAAAATAATAAATGCTCCCCAAGCAAAACAAAACCAATAATTACCTGTCCAGCAGAAATATGGCCACCACGGTGTCCCTTTTTCAGCACCTTTTGTTCTCTCAGTTGTTGCCATTGTTCAAAAGTCACACCAAAGCTAATTCTGGTTTTACTTCTTGCAGCATCCAGCTTCTCTTTAGTTGTAACTTTCTTTAATATGGTGTTACTCACCCAGATCTGTGGCTCGGAACCATAGTCCGGGGCCTCTGGTTCATGGATAAGCTGCTTTAGCCTTGGCTTGTAGCTGGTAACTAGCCTTAGAAGTCTGGGCTTTGCTGGCTTGGGGAAGTGAAGATTGAGGTCAGATAACTCTGTTCAAAATAAAGGCTTTATTCTGTCTTGGTAACACAAACATTGCATGTGCCCTTTGATGCCCAGTTAACTGCATTATAGTTCTATCTGTACACCTAGACGTTACTCCTGTTGGTGTTTTCCCCACCAGTGTCTGTTCCCTCTGCTCGCTTTCATACTACGCACACAGGTTGCAACTTCTGGCAATAACAACAACATTACCTATAAGACAATAATGTTCTAAAGGGGAAGGCCTGGCCTATAACAACAGTCTGTTTATGAACAAAAGCTGTTGTGGGTACCTTCTCTGCTTTAGCTGTCAAAACACAGCAGTAACACATCACCTTCCTGGCCTTGTGGCACATTCTTGGCTCGTGCAAGGACAGGGTGCACGCAAGTAGGAAGTAGATTGACAGGCAGGTAGGCCATCCAGTGGTATTGCTTGTGCCAAGTAGAATTCATTCTCTTTCTCCCCTCCTGCTCTTTGTCCTCTGTGACATGAAGAGAAAACACAGGGGAATAGAAGATGGATGAGAGAAGGGACAGCAAAACCGAGTCGGGACAAAATGTGAGAGTAGGCGAACCAAGCAAAACGCATTGGCTGCCTGCAAATGTCAGTTTAGTTTAAACAATTAGCTTTTGAAAAATGTTGGCTGAAAAGTTGCAGTGAAGAGTGACACATCATAATGTAATGAATGGCTGTAATTATGAATTGATGCTAATTTGTCCTTGTAAATATCTCTTCTTTGTTCCATAACTGATTCCTCTAGTCCCATCTGCCTGCTCTGCTCTTGCAGATGCTTAAAGTTGCATCCCTCCCTATGTAAAGGAGCAAGGTGTTATTTGTTAGTCCTCTTATGTCGCTCACTCTCTCTCTTTCTGCCATCCAGGAGTTGATCAGGAAGGGTATACCTCATCATTTCCGGGCCATTGTCTGGCAGCTGCTAGGCAACGCCACTGACATGCCGGTGAAGAACCAATACTCAGAGCTGCTAAAGATGTCCTCTCCCTGTGAGAAGCTAATCCGCAGAGACATCGCCCGCACCTACCCCGAGCATGAGTTCTTCAAAGGCCAGGACAGCTTGGGGCAGGAAGTCCTCTTCAATGTCATGAAGGTGAGCACTGCAGTTTTTAATCTCAAGCACTGAACATCTCGGTTTAATATTTAGCATTTGTGAAAAGTTGATACTTGTGTCATTTGAAATAAATGCCTTTATGTGTATGTGTGTTTGACAGTAGTTACAGTTCTTTAAGTGAGGTTATGTGTTTGTTCATGAAGCCATTTCCCATGCCTTCACACTGATTTGCTGCACGAGGCTCATATTGTGTGTAGGTAGTGTTCTTTGTGTTGCAGTGGTTTGTGATGTTGAGACTATGCTATTAACACTGGGGGATCCTGCTGGGGTTAAAGGTGCTAATCATCTAATTACAGTGTTGCCAATGGCGTTTGTCCTACCTCAGTGTCAGTGTTACCACTTGCTTTTTGGTTTGTATATCCACAAATGGTGTGAATGTATTTTCTTCCTCATAAAACATTCCCACGGTCAGTTTTCTCTATTTCAATCCTTGTGAGTGGTCTTCTTCTTTACTGCCTTTGTTGGCACAAGATTCAAACCAGAGCCTTCTTCCTGTGAAGCAACAGTTCTAAGCACGGCACTACTGTGCTGTGATGAAGTGTTCGTCTAAGCATGACATAGCAGTGCTGCAGTATATGGTATTAATGAAAAACAATCAGATGAGAGTACCATTTAAAAAAAATCTTTTTCCTGCAGTCAGAAAACAATGCAGTGATCTGGAAAGATCTGAATAGCTGTAATTAATTTCTCTCTTTGCCAGTTTTACTTTCCTCGAGTGTAGTGAAAAGAGGAAATATAATGTTGAGCATTATAGAAACCAGCATGTTGACGGTGTACTCATCTTAAGTTCCTGTGTAGCTACGCTGCTTACAGAATGACAGTACCACTAGTGACTTGTTTATTCTGTTACTCACAGGCCCCTATTTAGACAGCTGAGAGACTTCACTGTTCACACCTGTCTATATACATGCATCTCCAGGGTGTCCAGCTGGCCGCTTGTGGTCAGATGCTACTGCTGCAACACTTGGGCTTAAATATTGAAAGGCCACAAGCACAATTGTTGTCTGTTGCCAGACAAACGCTGTTAGTCTCCCCAACTGAAGAAGATGACAAGCGTCAGATTTCTGCATCAATGACACATTTTCCTCAAACACCCTTGTCATAAACGCATCAGTTACGTGGTCAAATGTGTCCCATACCATCTCAGCAAGTGGTTTCAGTGATCAGATCACAATCCGTCTTGGTGGTTGTTTACACTTGTATTTAGCACTGTCCACTTGTGATCCGATTGCCCAGGACACATATTAAAGCCAAGTCTAAGCAGGGTCACAGTCTGAGAGTGCAGGCTTACAGATATCTGATTTCTACAAATACACAGCATAGTAAATGTAATATGTGTGTTTTTCAGGCATATTCGCTGGTGGATCGAGAGGTGGGCTACTGCCAAGGCAGTGCGTTCATCGTTGGCTTGCTGCTTATGCAGGTGAGGATCAAATATTTCTGGGAAAATTAGTATATTTTGCCAAAAGCCTCAGTGCAGTACATCACCATGTCAGTTAAGACATTCATGACAATGTCTCACTATGTTTCTTCCGTTACTACCCAAACTAGTTAATTATGTGGCAGGTTTTTGAAAAATTGCAACACAATTGTCTTTAGAGGTTATCAGTGAAAGTCTGTATAAAAGCCGTTGAATAATTTAATTTGAAGAACTTTCCTCACTTGTTGTATGTCGTCCCAGATGCCCGAGGAGGAGGCGTTTTGTGTGTTTGTGCGTCTGATGCAGGAGTACCGCCTGAGGGAGCTGTTCAAACCCAGCATGGCTGAGCTGGGCCTCTGTATCTACCAGTTTGAGTATCTGCTACAGGTAAAGAGAAAGCAGAGTCTAGCAACAAACATGCGACTTGCAGTGTGAGGCCTGGCCACAGAGGGGCAGCAAATCATTCATTTAGATCCAGCACATCACTTCCTTGTTTGATGCAGCCCCTTGAGCTTATTTTAGTTATTTGAGGTTTATAGTCATGCCCTTTTGTCGCCTCAGGAGCAACTTCCAGAGCTGAACATCCATTTCCGGTCACAGAGTTTCCACACATCGATGTATGCCTCATCCTGGTTCCTGACTCTTTTCCTCACCTTCCTCCCTCTGCCTGTCGCCACTCGCATCTTTGATATTTTCATGTATGAGGTAGGAAACATTTTGTGCATGTCTTATAAGTATCTGAGGATACATTTAACTGTGTATTCAAATTTCTAACCTGTTTATTTCAACTTAAAATGCATGATCTGTTTCTAGGGCCTAGAGATTATCTTCCGTGTGGGCCTGGCCATCCTGCAGTACAACCAGACTGACCTCATTCAGCTGGACATGGAGGGCATGTCACAGGTAAACAGCCACAGCTTTATACTGCTCTAGAAATGAGTTTCATGTCATGAGTCACATGTCCTACTTTGCCTTTTGCACGCAAGCCTTCTAATCTATCTCTGGTTCACTTGCTTACAAGTGAACCAGAGATAGATTTAATATATTTAATATTATGTAAGCATTATTTATATTTAATACTGGCACAAAGTGTTAATTTTTACACTGTGTTTGTAAAGCTTGACGTTGACGTGTATTTTTCATTATCTGGATGCAGCGGCTGTTAAGTCACCATGGAAAAAATTAACGCTAAAAGGGTTTTACTATACCAAACAGGTGAATTTGATGTTGATTTTTCATATATTGTCTGCTTTCTAATTGGAGGCAAAACTGGTGAAAAGTTAAAGGTTTTGTATCTTCTTACTTTTTGTTGGAGTGATATTCAGAATAAAATGGGAATGCAAATGCCCATTTTGATACCTGTGCACCGGCAGTAGCCACCGCTGGAGGTATTATGTTTTCAGGTTGTCTGTATGTCTGTCCTACTTAGGAATGCATTATGTTAGGAGCGCCTTAGATTTTCTACACATATCTTTCAACTTTCTGACATTAAAGTCCTAACTCTGTTTGTATGATAAAGTAATTTTCAAATCTAAATACGTCTGTGAAGTTTTCGCATCCTTAAGTGCTAACAGTAACAAGAGTGATATGATGCTGTGACTTTTGAGTTTGAACGTTTGCATATTTTTAAAACTTGAGGATTTTGTTTGTGAAACCAGTACATCAGAACAATCATAAACATGCAGCAGTTGTCGACTCGCCACAACACCAGGATGCTCTTCTTCACTCTTTATAAAATTTGAATGAGCATCTTTGTCTTGAGCTCTCTAATCTTGTCCGTTTCCCCTTTGGGTGTGCCAGCATTTCCAGAAGGTGATCCCTCACCAGTTTGACAGCTGCCCAGACAAGCTGATCCTCCGGGCCTACCAGATCAAGTACAATCCCAAGAGGATGAAGAAGTAAGTGTACTCACGTACTCGTTACTCTAATGACTACTAAGACTCAGGCTGGGTGGGCTTCGTGTAGCCCAGTAGGATTTGTGTTTCTGTCTTAGTAATGCTGAGGTTTTCACAGCAAAGTACACTCATATCCGGCATTTGATGTGTGCTTGTGTTGTGTTGCTAAGTGAATGGTACGCCAAGGAGTGGCATTTTCTTGTTTTGTCCCCTTTTAGATTTTTGTTTCAAGTATTAGAATTTCAATGAAATGCAAATTGTCAAAACACAGCATCCAAATGGAAGACGTTTGTTCTAAAACAAAAAGTTAGAACATAACATGGTTTGTGTTGTTTTTATTTTTCATCAGACTCGAGAAAGAATACACCACAATCAAGAACAAAGAAATGGAGGAGCAAATTGAGATCAAGGTGTGTGTGTGTGTGTGTGCGCTCAGCTGTATTATTGTCCATTAAACAGTAGAGGCCAAAGAAAATGACTTCTCTCTGTCTCTATCTTCTTTACTGTCGGTGTCTAGAGATTACGCACAGAAAACAGGCTGCTGAAACAGAGGATTGAGACGCTGGAGAAGGTAAGAGATGGGCTTTAATTCCAGCTTATCTGGATGCTGCTGTGAGTCAAGTTTACACAGAGTCAGTGACAAGAAACGGCCTGATTGTTCAATACAGGACTCTTCACATGTTGATCGGTTCCCGTCAATGGTGTAATGAGATAATGCCGAGTGTTTAAATTTGTCAGCTCAGTTTCTGTTGTAGGTTTTCTTCTCCTGAGCTGTTTGGCATGTGTGTGTGTCTGCTTGTGGGCGCGGATGCTTGTGATTGGTCCGATTTGCAAGTGAGGGTTTCTCTGCTCCAGCTCTCTGCTAATGAGAGAGGCTGTAGATAATCTTCTCCTCCTCTGCAAAATACCTTTTTCTGAGTGATCTCACCACTGCTTCTCTTTTCTTCACAAACATCTTTACACTTCCCTACATTTGTTCTGAGTGATTGATTCCTCAGCCTGTTGTGTTTTATCCTCCTGGGTGTCCCCTTTATCTTTCACTCCATCTCTTTTTTTTTTCCATCCTCTTGTTCCTCTCCTTCACTGCACTGTAGGAGAGTGCTGCTCTGGCAGACAGACTGATACAGGTAGAGTACTGTGAACCACTTTCTGACTGGCTTTGCTGTTCTCTGCCCTACTCACACCTCCTTTCTGCTCTCCTGCACTAGTTCTACCTTTTGAACAGTGACCAACCAGAAGTGCATGAAAATATAAATATGTTGTTTGTTTTATGTCTGTTCAGTCCTTTATTCCCTGAATGCATGTACTGTTGTTTATCCATTATGGAAACTATAATATCAGGTTGCACAGTCCCTGCATGTGGCATGTGAGGTTTATTTTTATTATTGCTGCTCACAAAGATTTTATTCTAATTACATTACCAAAATGTAAATAAAATATTTTTTCATTCTTGCTGAGAGTTGGATGAGAAGACATTCATGTCTGTATGCTTGGTACAAAACCTCAGACAAGGTAGACTCCCAGCACCTCTAAACAAGCATGTACTTTTGCATATGGACTGTAGGGACATGTCTCTACCAATATTTGGGGGGACAGAAATGTCAGTGTGCTGAAATGTAAATTATCAGGGCTGTCGGTCCATACCTGAAGCATGGGTAAAACTTTCAGACAACTTATTCCCTTTCCTTTTTAGCCTGGACTTCACAGCACACCCAACAACATTTTGTCCATGTCAGGGCTTGTCCTTTGTAGATATTATTCTACCAAAAAGGATAAAGACATATCCAGTTTTTTCATTATCCAGAGCATAAGTAATATGCTGTGTGGTAAATTAACTAGCCATGTTGAAACCTGCTAGATACCTAAAGTTACTTTTCTTTCCACTGTGGAAAATGTCAAACATGTTAGCTAATGTCAACTAGCATGCAAACTCTGTTATCTGTATGCTAGCAGGAGTGACCATAAAATGGGTGGATATATCAAATTATGAGTTGAATTTCAGGCTATTATATTGTAGTAGTACATTGGCTACTACTATCTTGTTTGTCTAATTAGTATAAAAACTGAAGTGTGAAAACGTGTTTTATGGGGGTTAGGCCAGTAACTACTTGGATTGTTTGTTCCCAGGCAGACTTTTTGTTTTTACACATGTATTTCTGAACGGGTTAAAAGAGACTAGTTAATGAATTGATTAATGACAAGTTAACTAACAAGCTTTCCAAGTAATGGTAGGCATATTGTAACTATAGAAGCTAGCAGTTTCCCTGCTTCCAGTCTGTTATGCTTGCCATTTTCACTGATATTAGTTTACTTGGTTTTCATTTACTTTACAGGACTGAGAGGAGTGTCAGTAGTATCTTCTTAGCTAACTCTTGGCAAGAAATCAAATAAGTCATTTTCCCAAAATTTTAGACTATCCCTTTACGACTTAAAACTCTGCCATGTAACATGTTCACCTTAAGCATAATAATATTGCATTCCCCAGATGCTCAGATTTACCCTTTTCTCTACATTGGTAGTCTGCGTTTTAAAAATTTTAACTCCACAGCTGATTTTGACCCCATGTCCTGCTTTAACCCCCTTTTCCAGGGTCAGGTGACGAGGGCACAAGAAGCAGAAGAGAACTACGTGATCAAGCGGGAGCTGGCGGTGGTGAGGCAGCAGTGCAGCTCAGCCAGTGAGAACCTTGAGAAGGCACAGGACACTATCAGAGAGCTGCAGCAACAAAGGGTAAACACCAACCATGAATCCGTGCATAAACACTGAGGTAGCAATACAAATGTGGTTGCAACACAGATTAATAGGTACTGTAGTTTCTCCTCACATATGTTGAATGCAGAAGCAGTTCATCTGAATTCTCTGTTGGGTAACGGTTCATTTCCAGAAAGAGCTAATATAACTGTTATAGAGCACACAGTGGCTTATTTTTCTACATATGCTAGAATTTCAAGATTCCTATCCTACGACCACTTTACTAACCTACACAAGAAAAAACTCGTGATTTGGATCAGTGATCGTTACATATCTCTTACTGTTAAAATTCACCTCAGCAAATCACACGGGACAGTGTGTGACAAAACCATACATTGTGCTCTTTACAGTGCTGCATACATTCACACAGTGTAGTGTAAGCAAATCAAGAAAATGGTACTTAAAAAGGCCCAAATGACGCCATTATGAAAAGTGATTTTATTCCAACTCAGATTGCTAGCACACATCACCCACCTGGAGTTCACACACCTCCAGACACTCGGTCTTCTTTGATAACCAAGACTGAGAGACCCGAAATGACAAATCGAGACTCTTTTACTCACGCTATGTACTTGCCCAATTTCAAGCTTGTGTATTTTGCCTCAATAGGAAAATATTTTTTTCTACTCAGCCCTCTGTTTTTCTGCTCGTCTGCACCATAACTTGGTAGCTTCACTTTGATGTGGTCACATAAAAATGTATAGTAGCTTTCTATTTTCAGACATCGTTTTGAGTCAGTGGGGCAGGAGTGCCACTTGATAACAACTTAGTTTTGTTGGTCGTTGATTTTGAAGTTGGGTTACTATATGGCATTTGCTAACTACAGGGATCATCAAAAAAATTGACTAACATTGTTTGGGCCTCAAAACAAAATTAACAGTCTTTAGCAGTTTTTGTTCTGTAACGGTACAGAGACTTGCTGATCGTGATGAGGGCTTAAAGTAGCATGTCCTAACTGATAATTGTGATATTTGTTACAGAAACACTAACTCCTCTGCTTTGCACCTACAAAGATTCAAATTTATCGCTGCAAATTTCCTGCCGCTTTCCTCATGTGTAGCTCGTGTGTAGCAAACTCTTTTAGACATCGAGTTTGCAAAGATAGGAGTCCATGACGGTGCATCTATTCTCAGTTTGCTGTGAGACTTCTCAGCAGAGGCAACAAAAGAAACAGAAAGAGAAAATGATATATCAGCAGCTTGTGGCAGAATTCATACCCATTGAGTCACTGTAGTAATGCTAGCTGAGTATAACCCTTACAGTAGTCATGGCATCTGCAGCTCGTCGGTATATGACAATAAAATGAAATCAGACCTAAATTATATAAGATAATCAACTTCTCTGTTAAAATTGAGAAAAGTATGAAGAGCAGCACAAGGAAGCTGATCGACATGATCAAATTTGGCACCAGCCCCCACTGACCTGATGCATAATATCTCTGTGTATAACAAAGTGATGTTTGTTTCAGTACACAGAGCAGTTTGTGAGCAGCCTGCAGACCCAGCTGGAGCAGTCCAAGCTGCAAGAGGCCGAGCTGCTTGGAGCGCTGAAGGAAATGCAAGACAAGGTGCTCGATTTGGAGAAGGTGAGCTAACAGACACAGTGAATGTGATAATATTCATTTTGCTGTAAACTAAAAGCTAATCCAACCAAGGACTTTCAATTTTACTTAATGAGGTTTTAGGACACAACCACTCCACTTCCTCCTGATTCTGGTTTTACTGTACTGTGGAACTGAAAGCTGGAAATAGCAAATGCATATCTGTCATTGTTTACTTGTACAATCTTTTAAAATATTCTTAAAACTCTTGATCATAGCAATGTTTGGCAGGTATAAAACCTGCACAAAGACAGTCTGTGGAATTTTCTCATAAACAGGCATTCAGTGTTATTTAACCAGAATGCATTGTGTGTGTGCCCTTGAGGTTTAAGAAAAGCGTTGAGGGCACTTCCTTCTTAATAGAACATTTGCATGGCTGTAAATTAGTCTTGTTAGGCCATGAACATGTTGTGTTTGTCCACCCAGAGAAACAGCTGCTTGCCTAATGAGAACAACATGGTGGCTCTACAGGAGGAGGTGAAACAGGTGAAGCTGAGGGAGCTGGAGACGCTGCGCTCATTCAGAGAATTGCAAGACACTGTTACTGAGCTCAACCAGCGCTGGCAGGTAGCACACAAACTCCTGCTGTTTCTCTTTAAACTGTGTTTGCATGTTCATGTGCCCCATCTGTACTATAGCAGGCGAATTGCACCTGGGACCTCATTTGTAACCGTTGCACACCAGGCCTACACCACTGCCCACACAAAAGTTGAAATTTATTGAAAAGAGAAAAAAAAAACTGGCGTACGAATGTGTGCACTTGTATAGAAACATCAACCCATGTTTACACATTTTGGATAAGAGGAAAATTGTCAACCAGCAGTGAACTGAAGCCAGATTTCATTTTGAGCCTTCATGCAGGTTTAATTTTGCTGCATATCAAAGCAATAATCATATGTCCACCATGTAATGCAGGCAGCTGTGTTATATTGTGTTTGTGTTTGTCGGATACTGCTTATTCCATAATCACCTCTCTGTTTGAAAAGATACAGGCCAACCCAAATCTTAATAATTTACATCTGTGATTCATTATTGATTACTGAGCACCTGGCACTGTCTCGTCACCACATTCCCAAACCCTCAGAACTCAGAGGACAGGGTTGGGCCTACCAGGACCCTCACACTTGGTCCCTCACACTTGGGCAGTTCTGTGTGCCAGCGCAGTTGAATGTGCCTTCCTGTCACCTCACGTACACCACCTTATCTCAACATCGGCTGTGAAAATGAAAGAAACATATGGACTTGGGATTAAATACTGGTGTTGTTTTGTTTTGTTTAAGATATTTTCATTAGCTAAGTACTTGTCTATAGCATCTACATGCTTATCCAACCAGTGAGTTTCAGTGTCTCCGGTGGCCAGTCCATACTCTGACATTCTACAGCAAAGTCTATAAGGGATCCGCATCCATGTCTGAGCACATCGTTTCATTTTGGGATTGTCCTGTTTGTTGTATTAACAGCTGCTGTAGCCATCAGCCTCTCAAGACATTGTTTTGTTTGTAACTCTGTCTCCGATCTCCACAAGAACAACATGTGCACTATATCAGTATTTTGCATTGACCATTTGTGCTTAACTTTGGTAAAGTTTTGAGGGGAATATGAGGCTCACAACAGTGCACACGTTCTAAAGTTGACTGTTTTATAAAGGGGATTTGCATGTTCATGTGCACTGTTGGGTTTTTATTTTTTGTTTTTTTCTGGAAGAACTGTGTTTGTGTGTATGTAAAGGTTTTGATATGAACTATGCGCACAGTTTTATGAATGAGGCCCCTGTTTCTACAGTACCATTTGACCCGTGGCAGCAGCACAGGTGGTGGGGGCGGCCACTGGAAGGAATCCCCAAAGAAGAATGCCATGAATGAGCTGCAGGACAAACTGATGACAGTCAGACTGAGGGAGGCCCAGGCCCAGGCTGAACTCCGAGAGATCAAACTGAAAGCCCTGCAACTGGAGAGCCAGGTCAGACATCCTGCACAACTACACACCGATGGTGTACAGACATGCAGGTCCCTTCTTTAAATGCCCAGATAAATGGTGCAAAGGTCAGTGCAGTTCAGACATTTAACAAGAATAGTGATCGTATTTTTTTTTCCCCTCCATTCTAGTTCTAAAATGACTTGTTAAATCATCAATAGGATAATTAACCGAAAAGTCACTTTTATCAACCATAATGCCAAACATCTGCTTGTTCAAACAATCACTGTAAATTGAATATTTGTGGTTTTGGACTGTTGATTGGACAAAATGAACCACTTTGCTATTTTCTGGCATTTCATGCACCAGACAATTCATTCAGGAAAAAAATTATTTATCAATGAATAATTATTGTTAACTAGCCTCTCGTTTTTGACCTCATTCACTGCAGAATCAGATTCACAGCAAGCTGATCAGTCGCCACGAGCAGGAACGCTCTGCCCTGCAGGACCGGCTCCAGATGTTCACCAATCAGAACAAAGCTCTTCAGGCCCAGCTCAACGAGATGAAAAGGAAGCAGGCTGAGTTTGACTGCAAGGTCTGGATGGACGATAGAGAGAGCAAGAACATTGTTAGTGTAGGGGGTGGGGGTTAGGCCACCCTAATGAAATGTAAACAATATGAACATACAGTAATGACACACTAATAACTGAATGAAAGATAAAACTAACAAAGGCAAAAAGAAGTTGATAAAAAGAGGGAGGGATCAAGAAAGATGGATGGAAAGAAAAAGGGAGGACCAAGTAGATTATATAGATGGAAAACAGATGAGAAAAGGGCCTTTTGATTATCAGTTCTTGGGTTCATATCCAGATAAGAAGGCCAGATGCAATGGAGGAGGCCTGGAATGAAAAATAGAGGCCAGTGTGGACATGGAGGGAGTGAGAGAGTTTATTCTGCATCATCAATATCCTGCACTGAATTCCTGTACAGGATATCATTGTCATTCACAGTGTTCAGCTGTTAATCAGCTGAATCCTCCTCATTGCAGAGTAAAGAGGAGGTGATGGCAGTGCGGCTAAGGGAAGCAGACAGTATGGCTACCATGGCTGAACTCAGGCAGAAGATCGCTGAGCTGGAGATACAGGTGAGTTCTTGTACTTTCTGCGTGGTGAGGACCAAAAAGGTTTTCTTTTGATTTGGTTTTAGGGTTCAGGTTTGAATCAGGTTAGGGGAGGGGTTAGGCATTTAGCTCTGATTGTTAAGGTTAGGTAAGGGGCTAGAGAATGCATTATGTCAGTGAGTGTCCTCACAAAGAAGTACGTGTGTGTGTGTGTGTGTGTCTCTATAGAGGCGTCCTTGTATGTACATGTATTTGTACATGTAGATGGATCATTATGCTTGGTCAGTAAATTAATTGATTTTAACAGTGCTGTAACAATAAACGGACTATAGCCTTAACCTTATTTGTGTAAAATGTGTTTTCCAGAAGGAGGAAGGGCGGATCCAGGGCCAGCTGAACCACTCAGACTCCAGACAGTACATTACCCAACTCCGGGACCAGATTGCTGAGCTCAAGAACGAGGTTTGGCACGAACACACACACACACACACACACACAAGAATGGAGGCTGTGGTAGTAGGCTGTGTAGTTGCTCATTGCACATATGGCTGTATTACGTAGAAGTGGGCATTAAGTAGAAGTGGGTGCCAGATTACAGGATGGTGCCCGTATTATTCCTCTGAAAGTTGCTCAGTGGCCAAACACAATGGAAAAAAAAATTCTTCATGTTTCCAGATTCTGGACATAAAAAGTACTTGGATATTATACGTGCTTCACGTCTTCAGGGCCATAGAATTACGCGCACTTGAGTCTAGTCAAACTCCCACACACCGAATTTGCTTCACAGGCCAGCGCTGTTTGCGGGGCCTCGACAGCACATTAAGAAGAGCAATATGTCGATACAAGAGTGGTTTTATCAACTTACAGTAATTTAAACCACTGCTTGTTGACATTTTTAATAAATGTATTTAGGTAGCTGTGTAGGAATATGTTGTCCCCACTCTGAATACACATGCACGCAGATATCCTGCAGCCTTTCTAAACACCACAGAAAAATCTTGTCATCTATATGCAGCCTCACAACAGCTGCCACACACACATACCATTGTGTCAGTGTCTTTTCTTGTAATAACAGACCACTACTCTTCCCCAGCAACAGAATTCTCATCATTTGGTTCTCAGAGAACTGATTCTGAAAGATGAGTGAGTTTCAAAAGAATAAGTGTGAGACAGATTTTTGTTTTTCCTGTCATTGGTGAGCCCACAGCTCTGTGGCTTCTCTACGCGGTTGTTCACTGACTCAGTTTCTGTGTGGTATGAAAAAATGTAGATTGTATCTTGAGTTTTGCTTTTCATGACTTAATTTCACTGGAGGCTACTTGTGGTCTAGGAAGATTTTGCCACCTCCCGGGTTTCCGACCATCTTACTAACGCTGCTTTGGAGACACAGGGTTCTCACCAAACACACACTCAGGGTTTATTCATTCAGAGAGTGGCAGTGCGTGACTCGTAGGCAAGTGTTTAAACTTTGATGTGAGGGGGTGTGATGAGACTGCCCTGCCATTTGCTGCTCTTCTCTTTTTTTTTCTTCTCTTCTTACCTTTTTATTACAGCTGTGGTTTTCATAAATGAGACTGAAACTCGCCTGTGCACTGAGGAGGAACCAGTGAACAATTTAGAAAAATCTCAGTATAGCTATCTAAGCTATCATTTTATGATTGAGTCATATTGACTGTGCTGATGCATAATGACAGACTGTATAATGTAGCTGAAATGATTTTACCTGCATACTGTGTTTTTTTTTTTTTTTTTGTTTGTTTGTTTTGTGGTGTGTGGTACAGCTTGACATTAGCTTACCAGTTTTTCAATTTTGCAAACTTCCTCTAATTTGGATATGTATTGACCTGTTTATTTTGCAAAAACACAATGATAGAAGATGACCCCAAAAAGTGTATGTTCTTTATTTTGCTGTAGCTTAAAGAGTAGACACACAGTCAAAACATTTCCATTGGTTAACCACTGGTTTCCCCCTCCCCCTGCTAAGCTGCTAGTCTGACTGTCTGACTGTCTGATAGGGGGAAAACAAAAACCTCTGAGATTTGTCATGAGTCACTGTGGTACATGCAAGGTTAACACGTGAAAAGCATGCATGTGTAGATGAACAGGCAAGAGCAGCCGCCATAGTCTGAACGATGGACAGCAAAAACAGTTTCAGGTGGTTGGCAATGTAGGTGTTGGATGTGGCATGACATGTCAGGCCCCTCTAGCCTTTCTGTGGTAAGCAATATTTATATCAGTGGGTTTCACTTTTTTGTTGTTTTTTTCCACACATAACAACCTGTTTTATTAAAAAAAAAAAAACATTAATACTTTAGCAAAGATTCATCTAACAGGTCTGGCACAGTTTATAGGCGTGAACTTGCCTTATCTCATACATTATGTATATGCATACTGATGTTTCTGTGAAAACAAGGCATCCTTGGAGTTGAGGCAGTGTTTTTGTTTTTGTTTTTTTAGTTATAAACTATATCACTTAAAGTTCATGTATATCTTTACCTTTTTGATTACATAATGATAGACAACCCGAAAAAAATCAACATTTATATAAATCCAGTAGATAATAAATGTGTCCCCTGTGTGCCCATCCCTCCTCCACCTTCACAGTGATACAGTATAAGCAGTACAATAAGAATGTACTGACCTTCATTGTTGTCTGAAGACTGTTTTAAAAGCATAAAGGAGTCACACTGTTGCACTGACCTGTTCCTTCAAATGTACTGACCTTCATTGTTGTCTGAAGTCACACTGTTGCACTGGCCTGTTCCTTCAGTGAGGTGCAGAAGGTTGAAGTACTGTAAATACCACTGACGTATAGACAAGACCCACCAAATTAAAACTTTATTCTCTGCACTCAGATCAGGCAATTGCGAGGGCAGAAGCCGGCCCCCAGCTCCAGGGTGAGCAGTGGAGGCAGAAGTACCAACTACCAGGATCTCTGCCTGGCCAGCCCGGCCTCTGCCGAGGGGGACTACCTGAGCTCAGATGAGGACCTCCTCCCCAGCCCGCTGCCTCCCAGTGCCCTCTACCCTGCCCTGTCCAGCCCATGCCACCCCTCCGCTCGCCTCGACAGCGAGGGTAGCACGGACAGCGAGGCGGAGGAGCGGGTGCGGACACACCCAGACCCACAGCAGCTGTACGGCACTATGGTGTGCGCTGAGGCACTGGATAACTGAGGCCTGAAAGGGGGTGCAGAGATTTCATTGGATTTCTTTGTCCTAAAGAGATGCTGGTGGAACTCCACAGGACAGAACTTCTACTGTCAACTTCTCCTCGGCTTTTCCAGCGTTTACCTTTTACAGTGGCATTGACTGGACCTCTGATCATCACTACCTGTTTTCTCCGCTCCTGTTCCTGTCTCTACCGCTTTGTTCCCCACACTGTCCAGTCCCTGACAAAGAGGTAATATAAAGAGTCTCCCCTCGTTCCCATGCCAAACTGTCAAAATACATATCCGTTCAAACACAAATATATGATATACAAACAAACAAAAATGACTCGGACTGGACCAGCAAGACCGTTGCTGCTCGGGATCGACCACTGGACCCAAATCTGTGACTCTTACGAGGAGTGATTAATGGGTAGATGGGCAGAGCTCCTCCCTCTCCCCTGTGAACTGAGCAGTAGACACTTGACACACTGTATTCTCTACCATTATATAAATCTCCTTCTTCATTGGTGTAGAGTTAATCTTTATCTTCTTTTCCCTTTTTATGCCTCTCTTTAAAAAGATGCACATCCATCATCACTGCCTTCTGAAAAAAACACTTCTCTCACCCATTTGTTCACCTCTACAGACCCAGTGTTACAAATGAAACTTCAAAATGGTGACGAGTAGGAGTAGAAGAGGTGCAGCGTAGGAATATGTACACATCAAACTACAGGCATATCACTTGATGGTATTCAAAATCGATCATACTAAATATGTGTTGTCTGTGTCTGTGGCTCATGGCAAAACAGGTTCACCGTAACTCACTGAGGGAGGAAGGAAGGATCTCAGTGTTGCCAATTTTTTTTTAAATTATCAGTGTTGCCAATTTTTTTTAAATTATTTATATGTTGTAATTTATTTAGATTTTTATATAGATATATATATAAATGTCTATATGAAACTACAGGAGTGTAGAAATACCAACAGAGGCCAAACTTTCTCCAGCATCCTTTGTGCCAACTAGTCTGTTACAGGTTTACTGCAACATCGAGTGTTTCAGAGACAGAACATGTGCTGCTATGACTTTGGATTTACATACTTTATCTGTTTAGTTTTAATCTTTGAGAGGTGAATATACAACCTCCTGTTAATTAGATTAGGTTGACAACTACTGTGCAGACTGATCAAATCGGTAAACTGAGCAGTTTAATTTCATTTCTCCTGGAACTTCTCTGCATTTATGATGGGACCCATGAGGTCTCCTTCAAAACCAAACACAATCTAGTGATGTGTTTGTTAGATTTTGACATTTTAAGAAATACATGCATTTACTTTCTTGCAGAAAGTTGGATGTGAAGATCAAAACCAGCGTGATGTCTGTTAAATATGAAGCTGCAATTGGGAGGCAGCTCGCTTAGCAGGGCACAAATGGCATATTAATAACGCTGTTTTAATTTGTGTGCTTTAAAGGTGTAAGTAGGTGGACTTCAGCTCTTTGGAGAAAGCCAGCCTAGCTGTCCCCCCCTCTTCCGGGCGTCATGTTAAGCTAAGATAACCATCTCCTGGTTGTAGTTTCAAATTTAACAGACATCAGTCTCATCAGTCCTTTCATCTAAATGTTCCTCTAATTATGTGTCATATGAGCAAAAAGAAAATCTGGGTAACAGTGCTAATCTACAGTCACCAGTTCATGAGCTCGTCATGTTTTGACAGTGACGGTGGAGGGAGGCTTGTACTGTAAGGATGCCAACAGAGAGGCTGTCTTTGTGACTGGAGAGCATGTGGGTGGAAAGTATTTTACATATCAGACATTAATATATTCTAATAAGAGAAAAGGGTGTAAAATGGGTGGAATATACACAAAGTATATAGATAAGACTCAGTCAAATCTTTCTGAAGATAAGCGTGTTTATTAATAAACAGGGTGTCGTATGCTGAGCAGTGATCTCTGCTTTTTTGCACTACAGAGAAAAAAACGGGTGGATTCACAGTGAGGTCGTTTCTAACTAAATTAGGGATTTTGACATGAACTAAATACTTTATCTCAAAAATGATCCATTCTGACTTTGTATTTTGCTCTTAAATGATGTTGGAAAATGTCTAAATTCTTTATTTCAATATATTTTTGTGCAATACAAGCAAAAGAATGGTAAAGCAGCCAAATATGAGAAAATTGCATCTTCCACTAATGGGACTCAAAGAGGATGTTGGTTTACCCAACATGCTGTTGCAAATAACACCTTTGCACCTAGCAACTGAAATCTCTACAATGAAATCAGTGTTTGAATGTCATCAAATCAAATAAATGTTGTAAAAATTGTTTTGATCTAGTTCCTATTATGCACTTGTATTGGCTCTGTTGGCATGAGTTCTTAGATATGTTTCATTTGGGTCATAACCAGCTGAATTTCTAATATAGTGATAATGTTTCAGATTTGGCATTATATCAGACCCCTTTAATAAATATTCTTGACCCACACAGGCTATTCAGTTCATTCATGTTCTGTAATAGATTTCAAAGGATTATAGGAAATATACTGGTCATGATGTAGAACATGCATCTCGGTGCATGCATCCTTGGAGTTGACACTTGATTATGAGTCAGTGTTGCAGTAAGTGGGTTCCCATCCACATTTTTGAACATACTATTTTTTTTACGCCTGGCTGAGGTGGAAAAGTTGGCAGTGGAAGCAGGCTTGGTAATACATCATGATGTACATGCAGCATTTGACTTTGTCATCACTGAAGACACAAAAAATAGCAGCAGACAAAAACATCTGCATTCCTCGTGTTAATGCAAGAAGCAAGTGTTTCATTATTTTCTAGATTGTTTTCCCACCATTTGACTGGTGCTCTCTTGGTTACTGCGTCTTTTGGTGCATTTGTCTTCTGCAGTAGTTTAATGGAACTGGAAGCAATAATTTGTTCTCTTTTGATGATTTTTCTGGAAATTTAAAACTTGCACTTGGACAGATGCCTGGCTACTGCTGCCTGTCTTTAGTCTTCTTTATTAAAACCCTGAGGCAACAAGTCCTCTCATGATGTTTGGCTGCTCTATGAACATATTCACAAGTTCCTCTTCTGTTCTGACAGATTAACCATTCAAAGCATGTTTCTAACAAATCTCTGGGAGCTGTATTTATTAAAACATGCTTGATATTACAAATGTTTAACGACAGGTGTTGCAGAATCTGCTACAGCTGAAATATTAAGGTTTGGTAGAAAGCTTCATTGAGGACTGAGTTTTCTTTCCCAACTGAAATCTAATCTGGACCTAGATCTCTATCTCCTTCCACACATCAGCACATCTGTACGCTGCTGTTCAGTGATGGTGCTCTCCTCTCACCACTGTCTACCTGCCTACTGTGATGAAACATTTTGATATGCATGTTGAATATGGTACTAGCTCTCATCTTTATTACTTTTATAGCTACCACATTCAGTACTTTGGTTCCTCCTGCTAACAGTATCCCATGAAGTGATGATGGTTAAACATCATAATGTGCCATAAAAGTAGGTAGATCTACACAGTACCCAGTGACTTCATGTTTGACAAGGGTCAGCTTTTCATTAACCAGTCATGTGATATAAATCTTCTGTGGGTTGAAATACGATCACACTGTGTTATTCCAAATTTGTCATCTAGAAAGTGGAACACCCTCCAGATGCTTTCCCTGATTTTAAAGCAGGAAACGAGATGATGCAGCGCTCAACAGGCTTTCATTCCAGACAGTGTTCGTCCTGATTAGTCTGGTGTAGGAAGTCTCAGACCTACGTGCCACTGTGACTGTTCGGTATCCGCAGCATCATACCCGGGAACCTTGTCCGCCTTCTCTCTTTGTCTTGTTGTCAAATATATTAAAATACAGTAAAGATTATATGAATTCCAATATGATGGGAAAAATGCATTTCAGTGTTCTGTATCCTATGAATGATACAAAATAAAAGTTGACATTGCACCTTTGCAAAGTTCTGACTGTGGTGTTTTTGTTGTTTATGCTGTGTGATTATATTTACTAAAAGATTTCATTTGACAGCTCTCCATAAGTTGGATCTCTGATGTCCGAGTGAGCGGAGGTTTATGGATCACACAAACTGATGATGTAACAAAGCTACATTCGGTTGTTTGGATTGAAGAGTGAAAGTATGTGAATGCTTTGAAAATCTGAGGGTGAACAACAAGCTAAATATTGTAAATATAAAAAGTAAACTAAAAAATAAATGAATAAAAGCACACCCAATTGCACAGGCAGACACATTTTAAGCAAATTATTTCTACTTGTCGTCCTCCCCCTTTTTCAGACCACCTTGACAAAGACTAGCAAATCTCTGATTGATTACTTGTTTCTGTTGGATTAAAGAATGCATACATTAGGCTTGTTGAATAAGGAGAGGGGAGTTCAGAAGGTGTTGATTTCACCTGCATCAGCTCTACAGCTGCAGCATTGCAACCCACACTGCCAGCGGCTGCAGCGCTAATGTAGCCTACATTAGTTTCATGTTCTCTGTCAGTCACATTGCTTGATTTTAACATGAAAATAAATGCTATGATATAGGTAAAAAGAATTAGCTTAATTTGGAGAGAGAGCCCTAATTTTTATCTTGATGCTTTTTGGCGGTTCTTTGTTAACTAGGTGGTGCCCCGGTTTGGAAACCACTGGGTTAGGTGGTTATAATCGGATATTTCCTACTCATTCTAAACTGCAAACATAGTAACTTTGAAACTTACACTTGTATGCAGAAACAAACGATCTAATAACATTTAATATAGTATAAAACAATATAACGCATAAAATATAAAATTCAGTACCTGCATTTAGAAAGGATTAGCTTTGACATATAACCTGTTATGTTTGGCAGTGATGTGACAGCTTGTGATGGCACAGTGGTTTCCTGTTAGCGGCTTGTTACCAGTAAATCACTAGTTTGAAACTAGCGAACAGTTAATATTACTACGGAAGGAATTTGCACGCAAACATAGTAATGGACTTACAGCGGGCGCAGCTCAATTCAGAAGAGCATGGATTCATCAGACACTGACAATCTAGACTGTGGGTTTTTACAAAAATAAAAACTAATATAAAACAAACCTTAAAAAATAGAGTATAAATATAATGTGTGTGTGTGCAACATAAATCTGTTCACATGCACACTGTGGGGACTCAACATTCTTAAGAATGAAGAAGGATTGCACAAATAGTGGTAAAGTATGTCTCCTGTGTTTTAGAATATTTTCCTGTCTTATTCTCTAAGTAAACAATCAACAAGCAGAATCATGTAAAATAAAAGCAACAAAGGTTGACTAGATTAAAAAATAAACATTTATTTCACAGGCAGATTTCCTCCTGTTGTGTATGATTCTCAATAATGCACTGAATGCTATTGGAAGGAATCGGTTGTTGCATCAGGCAGTTTCTTTTAAATCTGACCTCAGTGGTATATTTTGAAACACAACTGTGTCCACACAGAGTGTCAACACTTTCAGAAGAATTTTCAACACAGTCGTCCATCCTCTTCCTTTCGCACCAGTTCATCCGATGCTGGGGTTAGCTTGTGCACCAACTGCAACATCTCCACATTGTGCACAAAACAAAAGCTGGACATATTTTGCATAAATGTGCAGTGTTTGGGTTTGTGTGTGTGTGCGTGTGTGTGTGTGTGTGTGTGCGAGGAAGCAGTGTGGTTAAAGTGTCGGCTCAGAGGTGTCAGAGCTGATACACTTCCTTGTGTTTTAGTCTCACCACGCGGATGTGCAGCGAGCATCAGCAGATCACGGTCCAGATAGACCTCATACGTATGTGATAAGCTGATTTCTCATGGTCTTTTTGACTTCATCTAAAACTCTTTATCTCAGTTAAAACACCGGGG